AAAGAGTGGGGGAGAGTGAGTGCAACCAGGGAAAAGCTAGGGACCTTCCCAAAATGTGTGTGTACATCTATGCACATACACCCACAGTGGGATCACCAGAGAGGTGGGAGGAGAACTGCTGAGGAGTGATAAAGAGGAAGGCTTTGTATCATTTTTATTATGACAAGTTATAAAGCTGTACAAAAATGGATAAAGAACATGTTCCACCATGCAGCAGAGCAGCTACTCTTTGAGGAAAAGCAAAACAGGAAGATGGCAATTGTTACATGACTGAGAATGGGAGTAGCAGTGCCTTCCATTTCCATGCTTCTTCCCAGGCACAGGCCATGAGCTGATTCTTCTTGTCACTTCTCAGCTTCTTTTTTCCTGTGAGTGCCATCAAGCAGGATAGTGACTCCTGCATCCTTCACGCATTCTGTTCCTTCTTGTCTTGGTGCCAAGAAGCTGCATCTGTGCCTCAATGAAAGGAGCTCTTGGAAACAATGGGATTTCCAGTGTGCCCCTTCTCCTGGCAAAGGCTAAGAGCATAAGAAACTTCTTTTTTTTGGTCTCATGGTTTTGATTCCTTTTCCTTTACAGTCTGTCATGTTGCATTGTTCCTCTTGACTTTAAAATGTCTTTGCTCTTGGCATGCTTGCACAATTCCTTTGCATGTTCCTGCCCCTTTTCTTTTTTTTTTTTTTCTCCTTTCTCCTTTTTCTTTTTCCAGAAGCTCATGGACTTAATAGAAAGGAAGATTCTACAATGCATCAGTTGAAGGACTTAATCTAAGTTAGGATAGAGCTACTATGAAGTGAAGTTAGGATAGAGCTATTATGAAGTGGCAAAATGGCTTGTGTTTTACAATTGTTAGTGAGGTCATGTGGCAAGCAAAGCTGGCTGCCCACGCAGCATGCGATGACCAGTTCAAAGTTAAATATGGCCTCATCTTTGCCAGTTCCCCTAGTCCCCCACATCCTGCTACATTGCTCCCCTTCACAGAGTGCAGCTAATTCACACCCTCCGTAAGGAACAGACTGCACCTGCATTGCACCTTGCCCTGCCCTAATGCTTTTCCTTCCTTTCTTTAATCTCAGTTTGAAACCATTGCCGACACATCTGATTCATCAAGCAGTGTCACTCTCAAAAGCTACACAATGCACTTTGAGGTAGAGTTGGTAGCTTGCAGAATTGCAAGATGTGTGATGTGCCAGATGACCCAAAGAACATGCACGAAGGCATCTTAACATTGCATGTTTCTCCTGGTGGGCGAATGTCTTTTCCCTTGTCATGATAATTGAAAAAGGAAGTCTTCTGTTAGACTCGGTGTGCAAGTCTGGGCTATCATTCTGGTAGTCAAAATTTTATCTTTGGCCCTCTGCCTGTTGGCTACTTTAAAAAAAAAATTAGGGAGAGGAAAGTCATATTTTACAGGGTTGGGGTTTTTTTTCCCTTTTTAATGATATATATGATTGTCCTACAATGGGGAAAGGTAATTTTTTTTTTTTTTTTTTTTCCTTCTGTTTATAACTGTGCATGATTTTTGAAGCATGGGTTTCTCTGTTCTCTTCCACTCCTGCTTGGTTTTGTTCAGATAAAGTGTTTGAGACCGTGCCCTTTATTTTTGGTTTATTAGTTTGTGTCTTCTTCGTAGGGGCTGGCAGATACAAAAATTCCAGGAGCTGGTTCTCCCACAAGCAACCATAGTGTCCATATCGCATCTGGGACAAGGAGACCAAGTCAGAGCCAGCTAAGTCGCACATATTCCCAAGCCTCTCTTCATCGTAGTGTCAGCCAGCTGCTCGACCTCTATGACAAAAAGTCTCTTGTTGAAGAGTCACCCTGGGATGCCATTATTCGCAATCATCGCAATACTGGTCATGGCTTGGTAAGGACTCCTGTTCCTCTGTAATGGTGTTGTGTGTCAGCTGCTAGTGATTTGTCTGTCTGTTAGCATCACAAAAAGGTCTAAATATCAAAAGCTGCTGGAGACACAGCCAAAAGACCTAGAAGGACATGGGCAGAGATTAGATCCTCAAAAATCCTTCCTGCCTACTGCTTTTCTGGAGCTGCAGGTGATCACACACTGCTCTTACAGGCTGTGAGGGGTCCACATGCATTTGCTCATGTTGAACCAATAACTCAGCCGTCTACCAGGGCTATGCACCTTGGAGATGTCCCTTCTGTTTGCTCAACTCATAGCCTTTTCTCTCCATACATTTCAGCAAATGAACAAGTGAGGAGGAATGTCTTGGCATCCTTCACACATTCAGTGCCAGAAGGAGCTTATGTTCCAGTGACTCCTGTTCTGTGACCTTGGACTCACCTGCTGACAAGACTTGTTGTCTGTCCTCTGCTCAGTCACAAGGCAGAGTTCATGTGAATGCTCAGATCTTCTGGCATTCGTGGCAAATGACTTCAAACTCTGCCCACATAGGACTAGAAGGAGGCTGGGGGGCAGGCAGAGTACCTGTCTTTTAATATAGGAGAGGACAGGACTGGCTGGTGTCACCAACATGGACCTGAACACACAGATATAAAAACTTATGATTCGCAAGTCAAGGACAGTGGCAACTTCCCTTTGTCACCAGGAAACCAGGATTGTAAGGGTACAGTAAGATGACACTTGTTCCCCCCCCCCCCCCCCCCCCCCCACCTGGCTTCCACCCTTCCCTGAGCAAATGTGTGGGAAGGGATTTGGGGGCCAGCAAGACACGAGTGTTTGTTTGCAGAAAAAGCTGACTAATAAGGTTCCTAAAAAGGGGACAGATGGGGGTGAAGGGCATGTGAGGTAGTAACAAAATTACATGGAGTGTGCCGGTATCATTGAGGGGATCTTGTCCAAAATGCAAAGTAAACTGGAGAAGGATGGGCTGGCACATACATAAATCCAGGCAGCTTCCTTAGGCTTTCACTTTCAGCACACCAAATAGCTAGAAGGGCTGGAACGTGTA